GGTCTGACATTTTTTTTTGGATTGTACTAATTTCAGGGGCGAATATTTTTTTTTACAATTGTTGAAATTTTTTTTTTTTAAATATGAATGTATTATATATACAGGTGAGGTGGAGGTGTCCACCGAGTGGCGAGAGCCACACGACTACTAAGCGGAAGCGATTGCGACACCTGGGACGTCCGTGTGTTCCTCAGGTGTGTGTCTATGAGAACGGTGTGATACGCGTCTCAGTGTGGATGTAGCGAGCCGCTACATTGGGGGGGGGGGGTTTGNGGGGGGGGGGGTTTGAAATTTGAACGAAAAAGGGGTGAGGGTTGCGGAACGAGTCTGAGCCCAAATTATGCCTCCCAAACGGGGGTATTTTTTTTTCAATTTTTTTCTCACGTCGCACAGATTGAGGTAAATTGAACGCTTGTGAGGGGGTGGAAGCCACCCCCACACGTATCGGGGAGGTTAAAATTTTCACACAGCGAGGGGGGGAGGGTTAAGAAATGAGTCCGAGCCCAAATCATGTGTCCAAAAAGGGGGGTGAGTATTTTTTTTTCAATTTTTAATCTCCGCACGTATTGAGGTAAATGAAACATTTGTGAGGGGGTGGGAGTCACCCCCACACGTATCGGGGAGGTTAAAATTCCCACACAGTGAGGGGAGGGGGTTGACAAATGAGTCTGAGCTCAAATCATGTGTACAAAAGTGGGGTGAGTATTTTTTTTCGCTTTTTGCTCTCAGTTCGCATGGATTAGGGAAAATCGGATATTTCGAGGGGGTGGAAGCCACCCCCGCACTTATTGGGGAGGTCACAATTCTTACACAGTGAGGGGAGGGGGTTGAGTAATGATTCAGGGCCCAAATCCTGTGTCTAAAAGGGGGGTGAGTATTTTTTTTTCAATTTTTTGTTCTCACTTTGCACGTATTGAGGTACATGAAACATTTGTGAGGGGGTGGAAGCCACCGCCACACGTATCGGGGAGGTTAAAATTTTCACACAGTGAAGGGACGGGGTTGAGAAATGAGTCCGAGTTGAAAGCATGTGTCCAAAAGGGGGGTGACTATTTTTGTTCGCTTTTTGCTCTCAGTTCGGACGGAAAATTGGACATTTCGAGGGGGTACGGGATTTATTAGTGCACGTAAGCAATACTAAACACGACATCTGTTGGGAAAGGGCGGAGTCATATTCACACACCTAATGTATAAAATTACTACTAGGAATAACTTCTTTCAATTTTGCTCTTTATAGAGCTAGTTTCGTTGTTATTTGAATAATCAATTCGATTTTTTACTCCTTCAATTTTTTGTTATATCAAACGAAATGAACTACATAATCTACCTATTTTGCATGATTTATTTTCGATTGCTCCACAGCTAATTCCGTTTTGTTTAATATAAAAATTTAAAATGAAATCAAAGAAATGAACAGATCGACGCCAAATCAGCAGGTAAAAAAAGCTGTTGGAAATATTTGTCTCAATTTTTTTTTTGAACAGATTGTGATTAGACAAAAATGTTGATAATTGAGGGTGTGGGATTCGGTGAAGTATAGAAGGGTTTTGTAACGTAAAACACTCGGAATCAATGTATATCGAATTGAATTTATTCACAGCGAAAGTAACTTTGGTTTTCACCATGAGAGCTGGAACGAGAGTGAGCTCCCGCGACAATGGTATTAGATCCTCCGATCGAGGATGTCCGAATTATTACGAATCGTCGCGATGATGTCTTGCAACAAGAACAGCGATATATCGGCAACGCGTGTCACGGTACGAAATTCGGTTGCTAAGCCGAGCTCGAAAACAATACATTGAAATGGTGTGAAATAAATATAAAGCTAGCTTCGCTACAATACTCCCTTTCTGCGGCGAAAAAGAAAAAGATAACTATACAATATTTACAAGAGTATAGGCGTTAAATGGCACTGAAAACGGTATACGTGACTCTAAAGAAAATGAATTCACCCATTGAGTGAATTTGATGCGTTTTCTCGATGGTGATGGGGTTGAGTCCAACGATGATCTTGCGTCACTCGATGGAGCCCAAGATAATTATGTGCGTCTCGATGTTCCTAGTTGTGATGATGTTCCAGGTGTCGGTTGCTGAGACGGTCGTGAGTATTTGGAGTGGTTTTTAGGCAGTCCTCCCAACGATGCATGCTGCGGAGATGAGCTAGGTGAGTCGGCCCGGTGTTCTCGACGCCACCATCGAAGTGATTCGATACGAGGTTACATTCCTCTCTCCCTCGTGAAGTGGACTGTAGCCTGTGTGTGTATGTCTTGGCCGTGTTTTGCGATGACGCGTATGTATGTGTATGCAGGTGTATAATGCCTCTCGATGGGTGTATCAGAGTGGCGATGCTCTGGTGAAGACGTCTGTCGATGGCGTATGTGATGTGACGTCGCGCATGCCAGAGCGCGAGATTCTCATTGATGCTTGGCGGAGATGAGCTCGGTGAGTCGGCCCGATGTTATCGACGCTGCCATCGGAGAAGTTGGGCATGAGGTTACTTTCTTCTCTCCCTCATGCGTGAATATCGCTGCGAACCTAGCGGGTGAGATTTCCATCCTCGTTAGCCCGAGCGGTCGAGATGCGATGTAGGTGCGATGAGACTGCGGGTGAGTTTGTCATCCTGGTTGGCCCCTGCCGCGCGTGCGGTGTCCATTGTCGCTGTGTATTGCCTCGTACCAGTGAAATACTTGATGAATCCTGGTGGTAGAGGTGATGTTGCCTGCATTTGTGTGATTCTCGACGATGCTTTGGCGGAGATGAGCTCAGTGTGTTGGCCCGATGTTCTCAACGCTGCCATCGGAGTGTTTCAGCATAAGGTTACTTTCCTCTCTCCCTCATGCCTGAGTTTCTGTCGTCCAACTGCTCGTCATGACCCGTCCTTACCGTAATTGTGTTTGCGCGCTTATCATCATTGCACAGCTTATTCGAAATGAAATAAAATCGAAAAATATGAAACACGGATCGAAGGTGTTGTAATGTTCTTAAACGGTCACCGAAAAACGGCGCGGGACGAACTGTAAGGCGTCTCAACGCCTGAATGTTGTCTGCTTCCTCGCCCATTTTAACTAGATTTCACTAATAATGTTCAGAAGTGCACTAATCACGGCAAAATTGTTCATGATAATTATCACGGTGCGGCGCAACGTCTTTGGGTGCTCAGCGATGCACCAAGGTGCACGAAAAATGACACGCGGTAACAAAAAAGCGCGAAACGATAGGAACGCTAACGAGCACTGTGCCAAAACACAACGCTTCTCGAACAATCCACGAAAAACCACGCGACCGAAAATCACTGTAATTTTAACGGAAAACGATTGCACTTGTTAACAGGTTAATGCGGAAATTTTATTCGTCACGTTGAAAGAATCACGGCGGGGTCACCACTTGTGGGATTCGATGAAGGATAGAAGGATTTTGTAACGTAAAACACTCGGAATTAACGTATATCGAATTGAATTTATTCACAGCGAAAGTAACTTTGGTTTTCACCATGAGAGCTGGAACGAGAGTGAGCTCCCGCGACAACGGTATTAGATCCTCCGATCGAGGATATCCGAATTATTACGAATCGTCGCGAGGATGTCTTGCGACAAGGACAGCGATATATCGGCGACACGTGTCAGGGTACGAAATTCGGTTGCTAAGCCGAGCTCGAAAATAATACATTGAAATGGTGTGAAATAAATATAAAAGTAGCTTCGCTACAGAGGGAATTATAATTTTTTGAAAATGGTTAGCTTGTATCAAAAAAATTTTTTTTTTCAAATTAGCCTTAATATTTCTGCAGGCTTTCAAGCTATCAAATCACCTTTTGTCATATTCGAAGGAGATGAAAAACTCTTTAAAATGAGACGTCATACATAGCATTATTTTCAGTTTGACGGGGTTTATACGAGAAAAAGCTTTTTTTCAATCACTAATTGTATAATGAATTCGTTAGGTTTTTCTACTAAATTTGTTCGTGCGTAAAAAAAATCCAATAAAGGTAATGGGAAGGACTGAATTCTCTAATTTATGATTGATTTTTAAGAATTTTAAGAATGTTAGGCATACATATTTTTTTCAGTTACAAAAAAAACATTTTCACGTATATCCACTTTAATTTCTTCACAGTAAGTACGATTAATAATTTTTCTCAACTCAAGACTTTTAACTTGAAAAGACTTTTAAAAAACAATTTTACCGCACCCTCTGGAGTGTCACACTACCCTCACTCCTTCCCGGGCTGAGTCAGTCGGGGGTCGTAAAAGTCTTACGCCCGATACAAAGAGGCCTATTCAACTTATTGTAACCGAGTTAATTGCATCCGGGAGCTACGATCACTCGATGAGCCCTCTGTGTCCTTTCACGGTATAGGGCAGTTAAATGTAATCGCTGTTGAAGGCGGCCACAGAAAATAAATGAAAGAAACAATTGATTCACGAAACTCTAAGTAGAACCGACGTCTAAAATGTAGTATCTAAGCCACGACACCATGAAGAATAGTTTTATTCATCAATTGTTGTCAGAATTCCAGCCATTACTCGCAAAAAATACATTTATTGATTGTTATGATAGCGACTTTTTCCATAATTTGAGAAACATGCAATGTTTTCATAATTTTCTTATCATTGAATATGATTCAACTATCCTGTGGCATTAGCGGAGATACGAAGTGGCAGAAATGGCGACATTGCATTCTGAGAGTGGCAGAAATAGTGACATAAGAGCCTTGACTTTAATCATTAATTAAAATTAATGTTCCCATAATTAAACATAAACTGCATGTGAAATTTGTACGAAAGATTCTGCACTTTGTCTTAAAATCAACCAAATTCCAATTAACATCGAAAATATACCCAATTGAGGTACAAAAGTACCGGACTCGGTCTTAGGTGTCATTACTGAGGACGTTGACGGTATTGCTTTTTGTCGGGAGAAAATTCAGGCATCTATGTAATTTGTTCCCAAACCGGAATAGTCCAACGCAGAAATGAATGAAATGCTCTTCTTCTCTTTAGGGAATCCAATTTGACACATAAGCACTATGCTTACAAAATCATAAGATACTTGAGACAGTGTTATTTGGCGGACGAGTGGGCAAAGTTCCTGAATCTTGCAGTGGAGTATCAAACACTGGAAAAAGGAGCTGTCTTGGTATCTCAATGGAGTCAGCCAGAGAGACATATCTCCTACACTTACGTTGCCTCAATGTTGGACAACATCGCTGATTACACCAAGCAATTGATTAAAGAGAAACACCCAGCTCACCCAATTCTCTCTCAAACACAGGAAACATTCAACGAGTGGAGGGAAAAAAATATCAGCGATAATCAGTGGAGCTCTGGAGATACTAGACAAGTCATGACCGCACTCTGTGAAGTCATGTTCGATAGGATGTTGTTCCATGGAAACAGTGAGATGTATTATTCATCGGAAAACTCTTTCATCGATCGAGTGAGTTCACGCTAATTTCAACTTTCTTATCCTCGTCTTAATCGAAAGTTTCCTTTTTCAATCAATAACATATCTCGAACTGCTCATGGCATATCTGAACATTAATATAATTAAATAGCCTTTGACAACTCAACTTACTAACAAACACGTAATTTCTTTCAATGTTTTTAATGGAAATTCTCATTATTCTCTACCAGCAGAATCTGTGGACTCATTCTCGTAGTTCACTATCTGTTTCTCAGTCTTGAGGAATTTCGTTTATAAAATATGAATGATGCTATTAATATCAACATTTTTTTTACATAGTACGTTTTTGATATAGTATGTTTATAATGACAGTTGGTTTATGTATACATATTTTGTTATTTCTCCAGTTTTCGTTTCAAAGTTATTAACAATCAAAGTTGTTTCCGATACATGAGCACTTATAGAGTTTTTTTCCATTTAACACGGAACTGGAATCTATGAAGATAATACAGTTTCATGCTATCCGGGAAAAGTGTCATAAGGGCCCATGAATAAGAAATGATTTTGATTATCAAAAAATTGAAAACGAAGGTAGTAGAATAAAAAAATTCATATACGGCCTAAAAACTATGATGAACTTCTTATGGAAATTTGGAATCCATATGATTTTTTTCACCGTTGAAACCCCTCAATGTCGGGAATAAAAGGGGTTCAAGTTGATATTGGGCAAGTATCTATAGATAAAAAGGAGACGTGTTACGTTATAAGCGTAACGCCGAAAAGTTTTCGTAAACAAACATGAAGATGTGACGCAATGGAGCATCACAGTGTCGGTGCAAACAAATAAACAGATGCCAGCGTATGTTCGATGCAGTTTACGATGTGCGGTAACCCCTGCACGGCTTTAATTATTTAATTATTGAATTATTGATAATACAAGAAGTAGCGTCTAACGTTTTAAATGTCAATGAAATCGACCCTTTTCCGTGAAAGAACATGGAAATCTGACACAATAGAGTATCACAGCGTTGCAAATAGATACATGACCCGAAGCATTCTATGCAGTTCATGATGTGCAGTGGCAACTGCACTTAATGAATTATCTAATTATGATTATGATTAATTAGTACTTATACGAATATCGTTTTCCTTGAAATCTGTGTAACTTCAAGTGCACTTGATCGATATCGAGTATCGGTATCGATTAACAATTTATCGCTTTATCGATATTGAGTGCCGATTAAACCTCGAATATCGATATTAAGATTCGATTTTCCATTTTGACTTCGGAATCGATATATGTTCATACTTTTATCATTTTGGATTATCTTATCATCTTAGTATTTAATTAGGATTATGATTAATAATTACTGGATATATCTTTTCCTTTGAAATTTGTGTAAATCCAAGTCCACTTGATCGATATCGAGTATCGACTTAACATTCATATCGATTGTTTATTCAACATCACGAAGCAACCGATATTCGTTGTCGATCAACATCGTCATTGAATGCGGATGTTTTATATTCTCTAGATACTATCTTTCGAGAATATAATATATTTGCGCAATCATACTGAATGATGCACGAAGACTTACAACATATGAAAATCCTTAACAATAGTCAAACAGAACCTGAAATGCAATTGCTGTTCACGTTGAAGCGAGGCGTAGATCGTCATCGATATATCTTTCAGAAAGAAAATGAAGTGGCAGCCATATTTACAACTACTGCTGATGGTGAAATTCCCGAAGCATATGTTTCCATTCGGAATAAACATACAAAACAACTTCAATTTCTCAACTCAATTGACCATGACGTGTAATCCTAATTGAAAGGAAATCCAAGAGAATTTGTTGCTAGAGGAAACAGCTTCTGATAGACACGATTTAGTCTCGAGAATATTTCATTTGAAGAGGAAATTGTTAATTGAACAGATTACGGAGAAGAACCGATTCGGAGATGTATTAGCTTATGTCTTTGTTGTACAGTATCAGAAACGAGTGTTACCTCACATGCATTTATTAGTGACTTTGAAACAAAACTACAAAATAACTGCTGCTGATATCGTAGATGAGTATTTTTCGCTGAGATTCCAGATAAAAATGACGAACCCAAATTACATGAAATTGTCATGACTCAAATGATTCATGGCCCCTGCGATCAACGTTGTCGTGATGAGACAGAATGGTGTTCTAAAAAATTCCCCAAAAAATTCAGAGATGATACAACATTAGATGAAAATGCTTATCCGTCGTATCGACGCAAGGATACAGGTTTTCACAAACGCCCTAATGGGAAAACTACTACCAATCAGTATGTGGTACCATACAATCCTCAGTTGTTATTAAAATTCAATTGTCACATTAATGTTGAAATAGTATCCAGTATCAAATCTGTCAAATATGTTTACAAATATATCAACAAGGGGAACGATACGGCCGCATTACGTGTAGTGGATTCTGAATCTAAAGAAACTACTATTGTTTATGATGAAATAACGAATTACTTGGAAACTCGATATGTAGGACCCGTCGAAGCATGTGATCGAATTTTGGGGAAATCACTACAAAAAAAAGCCATTCGATCGTTAGATTGCCAGCACATTTACCAAATTTCCAAAATGTATCGATTGCTCAGAATGCAGATCCTAATTCAATTCGTACAGCATTGGAAAAACAAAGCATGTTAATGGACTATTTCGCTCTCAACTTACGCGATTCGAATGCACGTAAATTCACATTCTGAGATTCCTTCACACTATACATTTACGAATCGAGGTCATGACAAACAATGTTGGGAGATACGTAAAGCGCACTTTAATACAATTGGACGCATGTATTCAGTTAGTCCAACTCAAACTGAATCATTCCTCTTACGACTTTTATTAATACATGTCAAAGGTGCAACAAGTTTCGAAGAATTACGAACTGTTAATGGACCAATTTATTGTATTTTTCAAGAAGGATGTTTAGCACATGGACTCATAGAAGATGATAATGAATGGATTCGAGCTATGGAAGAAGCAGAAGGCTGGATGATGTCTCAACAGTTAAGACACCTATTTGTACGTATTTTGATGTATTGCCACCCTAATCATCCAGATGAAATGTGGGAAAAATTAAAAAATGCCATGTCCGAAGATTTTTTGAAGAACAGTGATTCAATAGATGCTTACCGAAAGGCTTACATTCAAATCGATGATCTCCTGCATTCTGAAGGTTCGGATCTCAGTAAGTTTCCCTTAATGCCGGTGATTGATTGGGACGAAAATTATACACTTGCCGAGAATGAGCATATGTTAGATGAACAACATGAGTTGATCGGGAAAAATCAATATGGAAAATTGAATCAAATACAGAAAGAGATTATTGATAAAATCCTTTCACTTATTGATGATAATGCTGACGATGCATCTGAGAAATGTTTCTATGTTGATGGACCTGGAGGTTCAGGTGAAACTTTTATTTACACGACCTTATACCATTTACTAAAAAGTAAAGGGAAAAATATTTGTACAATGGCATTCACTGGAATTGCAGCAATATTGCTTCCAAATGGTATTTCAAATGTCAGTTCCTTTGTATGATGATTCGGTTTCGAATATTAAAAAACAATCAAAAGAGGCGAGTAGTTTGCGAACCACTGACGTCATAGTTTGGGATGAAGCTCCAAAGCTACATTACGTGATTTAATGGATAACAATATACCATTTCGGGGTAAAATAATTGTTCTGGGTGGTGACTTTCGTCAGTCACTTCCAGTAATGCCTCATGCCACTCGCAGCGAATTAGTAAGCTTATCTATTGAAAATTCTCAATTATGGCGATATTTTCAGGTACACACTTTGATAGAAAACATGAGAACTCTTCCTGAGGAGATTGAATTAAAAAATTTTGTGTTATCGATCGGAGATGGAAACATTAATGAAAATCAGGCTCGCTCGCGCGCTTCGCGCGCTCACTGTGCGGTGTGACCGGTAGGGGTGGGTGGAATTGGGTGTGACCCATTACGGGTCGAACCAATAACTTCCCGACTGATTCCCATTTGTCTGTTCATTAGAACAAAAAACGCAAATTTTGAAATTTCCATCTTGATAACTACAAAACGGCTGAGACGGTTTTACTTGGCATCCACATAAAATCGAATTATATGAATAGTGTAATCTTTTATTGAAAAGCGAAATCAACGTTCCAGAGGTCGAATTGCAACAAAAGAAATGAGAATGTCCTCACTTCAAAATTTTTCAATTCTGAAGGCAACCCACTCAAAATTTCCCAATTATCCAATCAAAAGTTAAATCCACTTGAAAATTTTTGTCCACTTCAAAGTTGACCCCACTTCAAAATTTTCTCAACTCCAAAGTTCATCTACTTGAAAAGTTTTCTACTTCGAAGTTGACTCACTCCAAGATTCCCCAACCTTTTCTCCAATTTTCCCTTTTTTTTCAAATTGCAAAATTCAAAAGTTTTATTGAAATAACTAAAAAACCACTGAGGAAACTTCGCTCAAAATCCAATAGAAGATGATGAAGATGATGATGACGCAGCGATTACACGAAATGGATTCAAATTCCATCGTTATTTCAGATGAAATCGTCGAATTTCCGTAAAAGTAACGTTGTTTGACATTTTCTCATATGTTTTATGCAGATAACTGGAAAACCGCTGAGGCAATCATTTCTTCAGAAACGTTTCAGGATGACTCTAGAGGTCACGAAACGTGGACAAATCATCGAAATTCAACATTTCATTTTCGGGGTCATTACAATAACTTCCTCCCTTCGGGTCGGGAATTTAATAAGGATAATAACGTAATACTCCCTCAACAATGTCTGGCTTCATATGATGAAGAAATAGTGAATACTATTGTTGAATGTAGCGCCCTACGCCAGTCTCCTTATTACCGACAGTGTGGCTGTGTCGCCACGGCGCCGTTGCGCCTCTATGAGATATACTCGTACTATGTTCCACTTGTGCCTCGACCGTTGTCGCGTTACGTTGCTGAATAAAACTTCATTACATTTACGATAA